ATCTTTTTTTAAAAATATATTTTATTGATTTTTTATAGAGAGGGAGGGAGAGGGATAGAGAGTTAGAAACATCGATGAGAGAGAAACACCAATCAGCTGCCTCCTGCACACTCCCCACGGGGGATGTGCCCACATAACCAAGGTACATGCCCTTGACCAGAATTGAACCTGGGACCTTTGAGTCTGCAGACCGACGCTGCTGAGCCAAACCGGTTAGGGCGCAACTGGCTGTTTTAATCAACATTGTTGGAGAGAGGGATCTATATCTTTTTAAGAGTGTTTTGAAAACTTCTCAAAGGAAAGAAATAATAAAGTATTAATATCCATGGCTATCTTATTTCTCCCAGAACAGTAGTAAAGAAATATATGCTTATGCCAATTTTTCAGTTTAAAAAGTTGCAAGACAGTATGTGTAAAGTTCACATCATTAAAATAAAAATGGATATTAGTGTTTGTTCTCTATACATAGAAATTTGTTGAAGAGAATATATAATACTCTATTACTCAACATTAACTTCTGGGAAATTAAATTAAAGATAGAAAGTAAGAACTCATTTCTTACACATCTATTTTTTAAAATTTATTATTAGCTTTTACAATGCTTATAATTTTAAATGTTTTAAATGTTAAATTTAAAAGTAAACATTAAAACATCGCTGAGTCTTCCTTAAGTCTCACGTAAGTTACCTAGATGAAGAGGATGGAGTTTGGCTCTTGTAGACCTTACTATACCACAACATCTAGTTAAGGCTAAGAAAATAAAGTGACAAAATTTATAACAACAAGATCTGAGAAAATGTGTACTTTGCTATCCTAGAGGGAATAAAACACTTTTCCTTCAAATTATTTGCTCAATATGATGTTGAGATTTTAATGTGCTCAAAAGATTTTGTAACAGTCCCACAAAAATACAAACAGATATTATGTAATTATCTTACATTTTGGGAACGAAATGTAAAAAATGATGTCACTGCACAAGGATTTACTCAACATGGAAAAGAAATTTAAAAGCCACAATGTGTTTGCTTTTAAATTTATTAAACCAGAGGAAATGACCACAGAACATAATGTTCTTTAATCATTGTTTTCGGGATTTTATTGTTAGCTCTTTCTTCCAAAGATCTAGTTTCACATTTTCTATTCCTACTAGACATTTCCACCAGAAATTCACTCTAAATGTAATATATCTCAAATTGCTATTGTTTTACTTCCCAAGTTATATTCTCCTTCTCCTTCTCCTATATCTGGCCACAGAATCCAAAAAATCCTTATCAGAGCAGAGCTTCAAATCCCAGAGTAATATCAGGTATTTCTCTTCGTGCCAACATTCAATCAATTTTCAAGTCCTCTCAAATAATCTTACCAAAGAAAGGGTCTGATCATAGCAATCTCCTATTGGTTAACCTTTTGTGTTTCCCCCTATGGATAAACACCCAGTTATTTTCCTTCCTATATGGCCAACCACATCTGTTCCAAATTCTTTCCAACATTATATTCCATGTTTCTCCTGATCCACTCTAATAATCTACCTAAACCAACATGGATCAACTAAAACATGTTCCTGCCCCTTCATTTCCGCACTTAACTAGTCTACCTTCAAAAAGGAGATCTACTTTGAGAAGCAAGCCCATCTTTCCTACATGATAATGAGAAATCTTAGGTCTCAGAAAGCAGCTGGGTGTGGGCTCATGATTTTAAAAAATAACTGTTCATGTCTGTATATGGAATAACTGGACCCCCAGATTCACCTCACTGCAAGCACAAGCCAGGCAATTACCCCTCCACAAACCCAAAGATAAGCAGAGGGGAGACAAAAAGGGTTCTAGATGCAGGAATAACTAGTACAGTGGAAAGGAGAGCCAAAATGCCTGCCATTCATTAGCTCAGTAAATATTTCTTAAAGGCACACTAAGTGCCATCTCAAATTTACCTGTCCAAAACTGAGCTCTAGCTATTCTCCTCATAATCAGCTCTCCGCACAACCTTCCCTATCTCATTTAACAAAGCTCTATTTGGTAAGACCAAAAACTTTGACAATAAGCTTGAGTCTTCTATTTCTTTCACATTCCATACCCAGTCTATCACGAAATCCTATTAACTCTAACTTTAAAAGGTGTTAAGAATCTGACACTTCTCACCAGCTCCACTCTGGGACAAGCCATCATCATACCTCAACTGGATGACCACAACAGCCTCCTAAGTGGTCTCCCTGCTTCACTTCACTTAATATTAACATAGCAGCCAGAGTGATGCTGCTAAAAATTAGGCTAGACATGTCATTCCTCTACTCAGAACCCTCCAATGGCTCTCTCCTCAAAGCAAAAGCCAAACCCTGTCCATGCCCTATAAACCCCACATAATCTGACTCCTCAGGAATTCTCTGACATTATTTCCTACCA